ATTTGATGAAGAAAATTACGTACTAGCATGCCCTGGAAAAGCACTTTCAGCTGTTAAATCTAGTTCTGCTTTTCGTCGCTACCAAAGGTACAATACCATATGTTTCATTGGATCTCTGTGTATCACCCTCATACTCGTAAGTGGAGTTCCTTTGAGGCATAAACCAGTGATATGGGTGTTATCGGTTGGCACGTGTATTACTCTCACATTCTTAACACTCACGTACCTTCAAGCCCTCTCCATGGTGAATCCAAATTTTTCGCTTCTCGACTCACCCACTAGAGTGATTTCCGGATCACTTTTGTTTTGGTTTGGGATGCTTGGGATTGTTGCTGTGTTGTCCACATTGCGCTTCGCATTTTGGCTCAAGATCAGAAGGGGGAAGAAGCCCAACTGGCTGTCGGCTAATGTTTTGTCGTTTCCGAGGAGCGGAATCCAAAATGCATGATGCTGCCAGTGAATTAGATGCCACATTTTGCCATGTCTCTTCTCCTCCCTCTGTGGCGTCTTTCGTCTACTTCTCTCTGAAATTATATCTTCTGCTGTGTTATTTACTTCAGTATCTCATTTTCATTCAGACTTGTGTCAGATATGTTCTATGAATTTCAATGATTATGAGATCAGAGCTCAGTTATTCTGATACATGGCACGTTTTCTAACTGTGCTCTGCTAGGGATCTTTAGAATATGTTGTCATAGTCTTGGGCCAAACATAAGAATTGATGCTTCTTTCTACAGTGATCTGAGTTAGTTTTACTTAATCAGAAGTTTTAAATGCTCTGACATTGCCACAAGATTTTAATTTCCTGATGTCGATTTTGTAAGTGGGAGTTGGTAATTGATTGGAATCCAGCATTAGACGTATTACATGATGAATAATATTAAAAACTGTTGAAGGGTTTATTGTCATGAGACGTGTTGTTACATCCTTTAAACAAAAGAACTTTTGAAGGGTTTTCTTTATGTTATTTGTGGAAAAACTGTTGTTTTAGATTATTTATTATTGTTTACCTCATTAAAAAATATTTCTTCAAATAATCAGTTATTAAGAGTCACTATAGTCAATTATTAAATGAGAGTATTGTGGTAAAGAAATTTACATCGGCAACATATTTATTGAATCCAACTGACTTTAACTGAAAAATAAGAAGTTTTTTTTTTTTTTGGTTGCCCAGAGTATCCTCCCACCCGAACGGTAAGAGACTAATCTCTCGGGGTACTGTCAGGCGCCGTAGCGGGAACCCCTCCCAACAGTGTTTTTTCCATACACACCGCCCCAAGAATCGAACCCAGGACATGATGTTTAAGGAACTCAAGTCCCTTCCACTTGGACCAACACTTGTTGGTTATTTTTAAGTTATTTGAATAGAGCTCCATTAACAAATGGAGAGCTATCAGCCATCATCCAAGAGCCCAAGACACATACACAACAATCCAATTATGCAATGAATGGGCTTCGCATTAATGAGGAGCAGTAGGAAATTACTAGTGGGCCAAAATATGATAATACTCGGCCTAGGAAGTATGGGCCGTTATGGATACCGATATCAAAGAGTTATGCAGAATCATTTCTCCCATATTATGAATTAGGTATAATAAAAAGAGTTAGTTCTTTACAAATTAACAAACTCATGTTTAAATCCTCACTGGAAAAGGTACCCATATGAGTACTTAATAGTGCCTCAAATAGAATTGTTTTCAATAATAAGATACATGTGCTTAGGAAAAAAAAAAAACCAAGTTGGAGATCTAAAGTAATACAAAAATTAGTTAACTAAGTTGGAGCATGCAAAATTGAGCAATGAACCTTAGAAAAATTTCATTTTGAATGGCACGACTCTTTCGATTTTTTTGCTGGCATCTAAGTTGTCTCCCCTCCTCTTTTAATTGAATTGAGACACTCGACACAAATAGTTCCAGTGGCCCGGCTTCTGCCTCTATCAGGCGGTGACAGCCTCCACCTCCACAGCCACGGCATGGATGAGCAGCTCCTTAATCCGCATTACGGAAGAAAAAAAAATTCTCCAGATTGATATCTGATGGTAAACTTAGGAAGCAGATGTTACATGATTTCTCTAAGATATTTATGTGTATTATTAGATTATATATCAATTTATAAATGAAGTAAATTAGTTTGGAGAAAAATAATAAATATAAATATTTTATACTAATTTAATAATTTTTTTAATTTTTTTAAATTAGCTAATAATTAGATCTTATGTTGATGACAGGAGGTAATGACAATAATAATAATGCCTCCCCAATAAAGTATTAACCTAACCAATATTATTGTTGAGTAGTATACATTGTAGAGTCCAAGCAATACGGGGTTCAATATATCCTGGAAGCATGTTGTGATTAAAGATAAAGAAAGAGCATATTGTTAGGCAAGTGATGTGACATCTCCCAGTGATTATATTTTATTGCTTTTGTAAATCAATAAAACAAGTAACAACTTGTATGTTACAGGAAGATGCATGAGGGTGCTTGCTGATATTTACTAGAACTATCTTGATTTTATATGGATTATTTAAATAAAACCGAAATTAAAGGCGGAACGGGACACCGATGTCACTGTTTTAAGTCAAGTCTAATAATTGTACTTTTAAAATAATTTTCCTTTTTGGGGAAAAAAAAGGTCGAGCGTTCAATCAACCGCATAAACGTTCAAACTTCAAACCTGCTTAGGTAAGAAACTTCACCCTCCCTCCCCCAGGCACTTAGAGCTATCGCCTCGAACTCGAACTCTCTCCAGTCTCCAATCTCTCCCTCCTCCATCCTCAGGTCAGTCCTCGGTCTAGTCTCTCTCTCCTGGCTTCCCTTTTCCCTCCTCACTCCTCAATTCTTACTCAGTCCTAATTTCTGAAATTAGTCCGAACTTGCTTGCCTGTACTGACTTGGTCCCCTTTCTTGGATATCAATGAGCAGGGAGTCCTCGTCCCCCAAACGGCAGCGTTTTGGGATGAGCTAGGCACTTTGTTTTTTTTTAAGTGCAAATTTATTCCTAGTTCTACTTTTCAGATACAACCAACACTGAATCTTTTTAGCGGTACAATTTTATTCATAATTTTTTTGTACACCAAAGATTAAGGGTAAAGTTGTACCTAAAAAAAAGATTACAGGTAAAATTATACCTTAAAGAGGGATTATGGGTAAAATTGCCCTATTAAAAAAATTGAGGTGTTGAATATACCTAAGAAATAAGATCAGGGATAAATTTACATATATAAGTAAAATTGAATTAAAAAGATCGGGGTGCTGCATGTACCTAATAAATAAGATCAGGGATAAATTTACACATTTATCTTTTTTTTAATGTTTTGAACATTTTATTAATTTTTATTTTTTCTTACTTATTTGGGTTAAGTTGTATTTTACTCCCTCAATTATTTTCTTAGCAGCACCTAGTATTATAAAAGATTGTTTAGTATTACTCAATATTTTCAATTAATTAATTTTTGGTGCATCCGGCATACTGAATTATTTTCTCCATAGCACTCAGTATCCTAATAAACTAATTTTTTATGCATGAAACACACCAGTACTTTTTCTAGTAGTGCCCGGTATCCTAAGTTTAAGTTGCTCATTTCTACTTGATAGAACCAAAAATTAATTTAAAATATTGAGTGCTACTTAAAAAAATACTTTATGCATTATACACATAAAAAAATAGTTTAGAAGACTAAGTGCTGCTTAACTTAAAATGTTGAATGGATCAAAAATTAATTAATTTAAAATATTGATTGTTACTGAAAAAATAACTCAGCGGGTTGATGGATCCAAGTTAACCCAAAAAAAAAATGATAAAAGGCACACAATTTTTTTTTTAAAAAAAAAAGTTAACTGGCTTATCCCAAATGCTGCTGTTTAGGGGACAAGCATGTCCAATTTATGAGCAGGGCATGCGGACTCTCTTATTCTGGGTTTTCTGAAACGGATAAAACTTAGGTCAAGTTAATTAGGTCCATTATATCCAGTATCTAATGAGCTTCTGCCACCTGTTATAATTTTATTTAACCCCAAATTTACTGTTAAACTGCCGTTAGTTCTGGAAACCATTTTTTTTATAAAAAAAAGCCGATAATTGTTTTTAAGTATGTGTTCTTCTCCGAAAACTGGATGCTTGCAGATGCTGTTCATGGAGGTTGTCCTCAAGGAACTTGAAGCTTCATATTTCCCTCAATTGTGCTCCGTTATTTCCCCTCTCCTCCTTCACCTTTTCTTACTGCCATCGGAGTTGCCAGCTTGCTGCCACCGCCGGTGACAATAACGCCCTTTCATTACTGCTCTTTCTCCTCATAGTTGCTCTCATCGGCATCCCAGCAAGTGTTTTCGGCTCATCGCATTCGAGTCATTCTTTAAGCAGATTCGATATCGTCATATCCAACACATCTTCCTCTTCTTCTCCTGGTGATTTACCAAGTCAAAAAGAGAATTTCAAACACAGAGCGTGAGTGTGCTTGCGTTGGAATACCAGTGCAGAAACGATAGCCAGGTACAGTGATAGTGATTTGGGGTTCAGAATAGGAAATTTAGAGATGGGTTCCTTAGGAACTTAGAGGAGAGGAATAAGAGTGAATCGAATCAAAGAAGATTGTTATTGGTTGCTGATATATTGAGGAGTAGTGAAGATGATGAAAATGGAGAAGTCGAAAATGGATCATTGAAGAAAAATGGGAGGGAAGAAGAAAGGACTTGACGGTAGTTTAACGGTAGACTTGGGGTTAAGTAAAGACTAATACAGGTGGCAAAAGTTGATTGGAAACCTGGACATAATGGACCTAATTAACTTGACCTAAGTTTAGTCCTTCTGAAACAAAGTCATATTGTCAACTAAACTTATGCACTAATTTGCAGACTGCTGATTAATACTTTTAACAATTTGTATTGATTTTCTGTTGATAAGGACTAGAAGGTTTTGTTGAGTGTTGGTTTGGCAGCTAGGGGTTGGTCTATAAATAGTTAACAAGCAAACGCACACGGCCACGTCAACACCCGAAAATGGAAATAGCAATAGTTGGTAACAGTGAAGAAAAGAGAATGAGGGATGTATACGATGCATCACAAAATGGCTCTGAGTCAACTTTGAAAACACTACTCCAGCAAGACTCATTGATCTTGCACAGACTATCCTCACGAAGAACCCTCCTTGAAACTCCCTTGCACATATCGGCTTTACTCGGCCACCTTGAATGTACCAGAACCCTTCTTGCTCACTGTTCCCAACTCGCCCTTGAGTTGGACTCATTTCAAAGCACACCTCTTCACTTGGCTTCTCCACAGGGCCACATCCACATTGTGAGCGAACTGTTGCTAGCTCGTGGAGAGGCATGCTTGGTTCGTGACCAAGAACACAGAATCCCTCTGCACTGTGCTGTTATAAGAGGAAGAAGAGAGGTTGTGTTGGAGCTGATTAGAGCAAAGCCAGAGTCTTTGAGGTTGCATGATGACAAAGGGAAAAATATTTTCCACTTATGTGTGATGCACAACCACTTGGAGATCCTTGAAGATTTGGTGGCTTTGGATACTCATGACACCAATAAGCTGCTCACTGAGGGAGACTCGGATGGCAACAACATCCATTTTTCATTTGGCTATCGTGTTGAAGCAAGTTCAGGTACTTTTCACTTACTTTTATTATTAGATTGAGTTTGAGATCCAGAAAGACTAGAGTCAGCTGGATCTCCTTTCCTGCAGGTGAAGATCTTACCTCCTTACCTCACACGTTTGTGTTTCGATCCTTTTTTTTTATTTTTTATCCCTTGGCTATGTTATATATATGTAAGTCACGAGCATAACAAATTATATCTGCTTGTACATTGTTGTCTAGACTGTGAGTTACCTTATTTCAATTCCAAAGATAAGATTAGAAGCATCGAACTTAAAGAACGACATGGTTTATACTGCTGCCGATATTGTTCATCGAATTCCCAGAGACTCCAAGAGCTTTGAAATACAAGTGATATTGATGGGGTTTGGGATCAAATGTCGAAGGAGGGAAAGGATTGATGTTGGGAGCACATGAGACAGAAGTGGGAAGAAGTTGTCATGGGGAAATGTTTTGGAAAGTATAGACCAATGGCTAATGTACAATGGCAATTGGGTAGAAGAAGTTGTTGGTTAATGTGATATTCATCATCAGTATGCTAAATATATATGTTCTCGGGATAATGACGTACGTGTTTTCAGCCAAAATTATGTAGTGCTTCATATCTCTTTCATTTGCAATGTTTGACCGTACGAATATGGAGGCAGAAACCGTGGAAGTGAAATATGTCTGTTCTTTCATGGTTCAATGTTCTGACTCAATAAGTACAATCCTTATTCATCAGCTTTATATAGCCAGCTGTCAATCTATATCTCATTTCCACTAACCGACTCAGAGTCTGTTTGGATTAAAGATTAAAAAAAAAAATAACTTATTTGCAATCTGACTTTTAAAAAATTTAGATTAGACAAAAGTTAAATTGAGTAATATGAATTATATTTGGACTGGATTTTATAAAAGTTGGTTTGTGAAAATTAGATTTGATAAAAAGTTGTTTGGATTATGATTAAATAAAAATAAGTTTAGGTTGTAAAATTATCAAAATGGGCATGAGTTTCATTAAACTAATGAGAGAATAATGGGAGGAGTGAGAGAAAATTATTATTCTGACAATTTCCAATGGTCCTAGACCCGATTGCCACTTGTAAAAGCTACCTCCCTAGCTTAAGGCGAATCGTGCGTTTGGCCCCTTTTTGGCCCCAAGTGTAGTCTTGTACAAGCTCTCCCAAACAAGCTTACTTTTTGAATCAAGCTTCTACTGCAAAATAAGCTACTTCTAGCCCATAAATCGCTATCTCAAACACACATTTAGTTGCAACTCAACTTATCCCAGCAATACAGTTAATTTTCAGGGCTATTGTTGTTATGGTAGTGGATCTGATGACTTACTTTTTAAACTATCGTTATATATTATTATTATCGTTAGTATTAAAAAAAACCCTTTTACAGCATTTTAAAAAGGCTTGTACCACTACTTATGAAACCGATCTAGGAAGTTTAATACTTTCTACAGCAGTTGTACATCGGTTGAAAAAACCGGTATAGAAAAGTGAAGAGAAAGACGGGAAAAAAGAAAAAACTTCACTTTCCGCAACCTTTGCTTTTAAAGATGAGCAAGGAGCACAGACACGAAGACCGAGTTTAGACAAAAACTGAGAGCTAATGCGAAGTTTGATCAAGCACGAACACAAAGATTGAGAAGGGTTACCAACAAGCGTTGGGTGCAGTGGTAAAGGCACCTGACACACCCCAGGCGGACAAAGGTTCGAACCTAGAGCCGCGCTTGTTGGGAGGGGTTTACCGCCTTTGGTGCAAAGCACCTTAAATGGGCGTGCCTAAACTCAACCCCGCTCCGGATTAGTCAGTTGCCCCGGGTTACCTGGTCCAGTTTAGAAGGCCAGGGACTCAGGAAAAGGCGCTGGATACCGGGGGGAATCGCGGGTCACTCGCCTTAGATTACTGAAAAAAAAAAGATTGAGAAGGGTTTTGCATTAATTAAATAACCGGTGTAAAAATTTATTTACCTTTTTCGCCTTGGTTATTTAATTTCTACGACTGGCGTAGAAAATAATAAAAATAATTTATTTAAAAATATTAAAAAGTTAAATTTGGCTAAATCGTTTTAATTAAAGAAACTTCTGAGCTCATTTTTCCAAAGCCTTCTTTGGTGAACTCAAATTAATTAATGCTGGTGTTCCGATGCTTTAACAGATTCTTTTCTCCCTGTTGATGAACACCTGAAATAATTTAAAACTTAAAAAAGAAACCATCAATATCAAATAAATTGGAGCACTCGTTATCCTCTATTGGCATGGTCCCTCCAATGAAAATGGAAACTAGTCATCATGAACACTAAAAAAAAACAGCTGATTAGTGATGAAATTTCTGACGGAAACAAATTCTGTCGCTAATTTCTAACAGAATTGTGACGGAAATTCCGTCGCTAATTTTTTAGACGGATTAGCGATAGAATTTATTAGCTAAGGATTAGCGACGGAATTTTTGTCTATCACTAAATTCCGTCGCTAATCCGTCAGAAAATCCGTCAATAAATATTTAGCTACAGAATTAGCGACGGAATTTTTTCCATCAAAAATTTCCATCGCTAAATTGTTTGTTACAGAAGTTTTTGTCACTAATTCCGTCACAATTTCGTCGCTAATCCATCACTAATTTTAAATTTTGTTATTTTAAATTATAATCTTACAAAAATTTATATAATAACAATTAAGAATATAATGATTTAAAAACATTTTTAATTATAAAATAAATTGATATATTTGTGGAGTTGGTATTAATAAAGATATTGTCATCATTATGTATACACTGAAAATAGAAAGATAATTTCTTAGAAAACTTGTTTATATTTTGTTAAAATAAATTGCTCTTGATTATTAATAATAATTAAAAAAATATAATAAGAATATTAATAACTTTCTTATACAAACTGAGATGAGAAAGAAATAATTTTATCATATGTAAAATATATTGAAATCTATAATATATGATAAAAATTCAAAACCAAAAAATAAATTTATATGAATGCAAACTAATATTGAAGTAAAATTTGAATTTCAATTATTAAAAAATAAAATTTAATCATGATATAATTAATACCCATGATATACATTGATTTTGGTCTTCAATACAAAAACAAATGGTATATACAAAGAATTTTAAGAAAATAAATTACATAGGATATATATATAAGTAGAAAAATACTGTTTATCATAATCTATTCAAATCATTTAATTTTTTATATAGAATAATTTATTAGATTTTATTATAGTAGTTATTTTTTGAATAACAAGATTTTTTGACTAATTGTAAATGATTTTCTTCAAGTATATAAAACACATATAGATGATATAATATAATGTGATATAATACATATATAATTAAATTGTACATCTTATCAATGTTAATTAAAAAATAAATTTAAAAAATATTTATAAAAAAATTATTTATGATTTAAAATTCAAAATTAGTATCGTTAGAAATTAAAATTATATTAAAAATATTTTTTTAAAATAAAACATTATAAAATGAATAGTAAAACAAATATTTAAAAATTATTTTTTCATTAAAATTGTTATTATTAAAATTATCATATAATATATTTTTAGTTTTTAATAATATATAGCGACGGATTATTTCTGTCAAGAATTAGCAACGGATTAGCCACGAAAAATTTCTGTAAGTAATTAGCAACGGAATTTTCTGTCGCTAATCCACCGCTAATCAAAGGAATTAGCAATGGAACAAATTCCGTCGCTAATTCCATCACTAAATAAAAAATTCTGTTACTAAATTCTGTTGCTAAAAGCATATTTTTTTTGTAGTGGAAGATGAGAAAATGAGAGTTCTTTATGAGACTTCATAGGGTGTGTTTCAATTCTAAACACGCTAATACAGGAAGACCCACTAATACTACAAAAAGTCTTCATTCAGTGCTCATCACAACAATGAATATTATATGTTCATCACTGTAATGCAATCTAAACCATCTAAAACATAATATGGATGGGTCAAATTTAAAATTTTTAATATACAATTTTTTCAATAATAAATTTATTTTTTTAAAGATATGATAGTTATGATATTATATTTATTTTGAATTTTGTATCTGTTAAAACCAAAAGTTGATTAAAATGTATAAAAAATTTAAATTCAATCTAAGCCTTTTAAAATCGATCTGAATAGTCCAAATTACAATGGGCCTTCTATGCTCAACATTGTGATAAGCATGGAACGTAGTCCCATGCTACAAACAATTAACTTCACCACAATCTTCGCTGAAACTCCCTTACACATATAAGCTTTACTCGGCCACCTTGAATTCACAAAATTCCTTCTTACTCACAAACCCAAGCTTGCCCTTGAGTTTGACTCCTTTCGAAGCACAGCCCTGCACTTAGCTACCGGAAAAGGCCAAGTCCACATTGTGAAGGAGTTATTGCAAGCTTGTGACCAATTCCATTGCACTATGCAGTTATAAGAGGGAGAACCAATTCCATCGGGGGAAAACTCTTTTCCACTTGTGTGTCATGTACAGTCACTTGGATTTTGCGGGAAGGATAAATTTTATTGGTACAATAATTTTTCTTCGATATGATTCAGAAAATGATTATAAAATTGATTTATAACAATTGGTTATCTGAAACTTTTTAATTAACAGCTTATGGCAAAATCAAAATTTTAACTCAAAAATGGATTTTATCATTAAGAGGGGTGCATAGATAATCTTTAACAAAAACAAAGTTTAGCTAGATATGTTTTATCATAAACTCATTGGCCAAAAAAAAAAATTATAAGCTCAATCCAAACAGACATTTATAAGAGTCAAAATTATAGTTTTATTAAAAAATATACCAACATTCTTATACATGCAAAATCAATTGTGAACTCAAAATTTACATGTCAAAATTAATTATTAATTAAAAAAACTATGATTATCTTATAAATTACTATACATTTATATATGCCCAAAATCAATTATGATACTTTACTTTTATAAATCGGTGCGTATACCCACGCGCTTCCAGAAGCTTACAAACATTCATTTTGATTATCTTATGATAGCCGAGTTATTCTTTTTTTTGATACGATGGCCGAGTTATTCTCTTGACACGTTTGTGGAATATTTTTTATACCTTACTTTTATAAATTCACATTGTTGTGGGGTTTGTCTATAAAAAGACCCACCGAGTAATTATGGCAAAGAGGTTGGGCATAGGAAAGCAACGAATGGAGTCAACCATAAAAGCAAGCTAAAATTTTCCATTATTTCAAAAAGTAAATTATCAGTTTTAGAACATGTGTCACTTCTTTATTAAATCCCACTTCGACAAAAAAAAAATACCCACTATTGGTGACAAAAAAAAATGGTAAAACAACAGCACTATTATGATAAACGTATTTTATCGAAGAATATTTGGAGGTCCTGCGGGACTATTTAATACTACCTCGGATCTTTAATATAAAAATTAGTTCACTAATTGGAGTAGATTAAGAAATTAGTTAAATTAGTTATTTGTAATAAATAGGGGTTGTCTTTCCTAAAATATCCTTACTAATCAGGTATATTGGCTAGAACTACTATTATTGCAAGAACTATCTTTAAAAAAAAGATAAATATGAGAAATAAAGTGGATTGCGATTTTATGTTGAGGACTAAACTAAAAGTTAAACAAGGTCTTATATTAAGGACTGAAGGTGGTATATATACTCTCTACCGGTAATTTTAAATTTAACATAATTTTCAGACTATATATTTATTAGAAAAACCAACAGATTAAAAAATTTTCAAGAAAGAAGATAAATTGGATGCTCTCTTTCTGTTTGTGGATTTTATTTTCACTTCAAGACGTTCCGCATAAATCAATTAATCCTCAAATTATATGATGTAAATGATTTCTCAATTAAATCGCAGTGAGTTTCATGTGCATTAAATTATTAAAATAATTTTTTGGTGAGAATTCCCTTACAGTGAATAGAAATATTTTGAAAAAAGATGAAAAACAAAATGAATTGAGATATTATACTTAGGACTAAATTGAACTCACAATTAGCTCTTATGTTAAGTAATGGGGTAATATTATTGTTGAGTAGTGGCGTGGAGTCCCAATCGTACTGAGTTTACTAGCAACCTTTTAAATCGCGTGAATATGTCTGGCAATAGTTATATTCCATTGCACTTTTTTCATGTCAAATTGTCATTGGTAAAAGAAAAGGTAGGTAGGAAGAGAAATCACAAATAAAGGAGAGATGAGGACAATAAAATGAGACAAAGAAGAAGAAGAAAAAGATGCACATCCCTCCAATTACACCCTGATCATAATAAGAGTCAATGTCTTAGTGGTATCATTTAAGGAGAATTACAATCAGGTCTTAAGGAAGGGATTTAATTACTTTAAAATCTATCAACAAGTAAAGAGTATGTAATGACAAGTTTTAAGGATAGTCTCTTATCATTAAGATGTGTTGGCAATTAAATTTTCTTTCACAACCTCCTGGTAATTTTTCCTGCCAATTATTTTGAATATGATTGAGGTGATGCCATTGTGTGAGTCATGTAAATGATGTAATACTAACGAGCTAGGATGCTGCTGTCTCTTTAGACTTCTGACAAAAGATCACTCTACGATCATTGATCAACACTTATAATTAGTTTGAAACTACCTGGAAGATGAAGTGAACTTGCATTAAACATTAGTTATATCCAACAATCATATTTCTTTCACGCAAGAAGCAGAGAAGACGACAAAGAAACTTGTTTTGTATTTGTGTGTGATGAAGCCCCGGGGGGGGGGGGACGGGTGATTGATATAATGACACTACCAACCCACTTGATCCTTCCCGAGGGCTCTTATCCGATGTGGCCCGAGGCGGCCATGGACATCGCCTTCCAATATGCTGGTACGTACATAGGGATATTCTTTATCAAGGAAGGGAAAATTATTTTTTGAGATCATTAACCAAGAAAAGAAACCCCAGTTATTCTCAAGAAGTAAATAGTAGTTAGTTTATTGGGCAAAAAAAAAGAAGCTTGGTATATATATATTTATATAATGCGAATTGGTTTTGTTATGTTATCTCATTTAATCATTTGAATTAGAAATTAGAAAAAATCACAAGAAAACCGTGAAAATTGCAAAATCGTAAATTGGGACTTGTTAGAACACTTTCATTGGTTTTGATAACAATTGAATCTCAAATGACAACACATTTTTAACAAAATATCTGATTTGCAACTTCACAATTTCCGTAGTCTTTTCTTTTTTCTTTTTTGCAATTTTTTCTAGAAATTACTCCTCTAATCCTATGTATGTCACTTCCAATATGTTTCATGAAAATCATAAAAATCTTATCTTATTAATCTCGTTTTAAAATTTATCAACTTTCTATTTACACCTTTATTTAACATGTTACGCTTTTGTCAAAAAATAACAGTCTATACAATAATAAATTTCAGTTAACATATATGAAATTCTAAAGCGAATTAAGATGCCGTTCTAATTGTTGTCATTGTTATTATTCTTTGAGTTCCATTCAAGTAAGCAGACTTACAGATTTACGCCAATTTGTTTTATTATCAAAATTCTACATTTTTTTGCCATGTATAGATTTTTTTTATTAGAGATAGTCTTATTTAAAGTACTGTTGAGTATTAAATATGTGTACCTCTTTTGTTGAGAATTTAAATTTTGATTCTGAAATATTTACTCCTATCATACCAAAACCCATTAGTAAATTTTACATGCCTTAAAAAAAAAAAAAAGAAACAAGGTCATGGGAATACGATAGAGACCTATACAAGCCCTACAAAACTTAATAATAGAGACCTATATTGTGTAGATTTTCAGTCTGTGGTTCATATATCCTTATGAGCATTAATTATCTCGAATTTTCACTCAGTGATTCATTCTTTGAGAATTATTTATTTAATCCCAACTTTTTCTACGACCAAATCTTTCAACTTTCTTCGACTAAATCTTTGCTGGGACCCGTTTTTGGTGTGCAATACTGGAGGTTGTTTCATAATCACCCGAACTAGGACAAAATTATTGCCAATCATACCTGTGTCATTAATTACTTGTTTTTATGTATTTTAAGTAATTATAATTTATATCAATTTTAAATCAAGTAAATTATAAAGGCCTACGAGATTAAGCTCAATACGCAGGAACCTCCACTCCATCGTTTCTCTTATCAAAATATATATACTGTATATATAGTGAAATATATGACCAAGAAATTTTATGTGGTTAATAACTACATGTCTTATTTATATTCTTATCTATAAAAAATATGGAAAAATGACAAAGACCATAAAAATTACACATACATTATTTTAACAGGTTTTGATAACTTGTAAGTAACAATATATTTTTGTGAATATACTTAGTTTTAAATTTTGTGATTTCCACCTTTTTTTGGTTATTTTTCCAAAAACTATGGTGATTCCTTTTTTTATTTTTTGTGAATCCTGTCAGTGTGACTTGCTAGGGTCAGTGAAACTAAGAGTGTGTTATGTGTAAAATGTTAAGGTCTTCTTTTTTATTAGAGTCTTCTTAAGTTAAGAAAAAAAATATAGGAATTAAAAAAAATTATTGGTGGGCTTAAATAGGTTGGCCCATGGCCCTACAGGACTGGCCCATATATTTTTCGACCCTACAGTACTGGTCCTTTTAAGCCCAACTTCCCTTTCAAAACTTTAGAATACAAGCCCAGCTCTACATCCAAGTTTTTGTCTCTCTCTCTCACCTTTCTCTCTCATCTGTTGAAGCTAACCACGATGAACTCGATGACATCCAGAAGGAGTGAAGAAGGACTGCCTGTTCAACTGGTCCTACTACTTATCAACATGGGCATGCTGCTTCTAGGCTGTTATAAGTTCGATTTTGCAAAGATGGAGTATAGTGGGGATTGGCTTTCAGCATTACACCCATGGCAATTTTTTCGGTGAACTCCTGTGGCCACTTTCGTTAGCTTAGTTGCTTTGTGTTTTTTGTTATAGATAAGCAAGATTTGATGAATTCAGATCTTAGAGGAAATATTATAAGCATGAAACTTGCCAAAAACGCAGTGTGCTAGCTTAATTAGATTAGAATCAAAGTGATATGAAAAGGAGGTTATATAAATGCTGGCAATATTATTACAAAGTGAAGAAATAAAGCCTGAGATGTGGAAAGAATTTCACCAATTCCTCCCATAAGACTCTGATCAAAGCTTCTTCTTTTTTATATGTTATAACAGCATAGAAGCAGCGTGCCCATGTTGATGAGGAGTAGGATCAGTCAAAGAGGCAGTTGTTTCTTCACTCCTTCTGGGCGTTGTCGAGCTCATCGTTGTTAGCTTTAACAGATGAGAAAGAAAAGCGATAGAGAGAGAGACAAAAACTTAGGGGATCTCACATTCCGAATTTTGGGCCTAGAAGTACTGAAATTAGCCTGAAATGAACAAGCTACCAGACCCTTTTTAGCAAAGGTCCTAGAGATTTCCTGGAAGGATAGTAGGATCCCCAAGGACTAAATCGCAAAGGGAAAGTTTTCTAGGACTTAAGAAAGAGAAAGTTAAAGACTCTAGTGAAGTCTCGAGGCCCAAGAATGATAAATAGAGATGAATGTAGGGCAATAATTATGTTGAAGGCCTCAATGAGGTGAATTTTGAGGTTAAGCCAAACCATGGGCAAAATTATAATTTTGCAAAGTTTTGGGCTAGTAAAGGCAAAAATGGAAATTATGCCCAAAATCCCAGAAAATGAGAAATTGTGGGTTAATGCCTGAACACCTAGGAAAATTTTCAGAAACTAGGAATAAGGTTTAGAGGTTTGTATGAGGCTGTAAATGCCCTTGGAAGGAATTTGTGGAATTCCCACGGTTTTGACTGATTTTGAATATTATTAAAAATAAATTATTTAAAGTATAGGGAGGCCTCAGATAATTGGAATAAAATGGAAAAAAATACTTGAGAAATTATGACAAGTTTTAAAAATAATTCCATCCTCAGAAAGCGAAGAGGTTGGCTTTAATAGAATTTAAAGCCTATTTATACACTATTTAGGAAAAGTCAAAGTCAAAGGTCTAGAGGTTGACTTTGGACTTAAGAAAAATTAGAGGAATTTCTTGTGATAAATAAATAGTATTGGTACCTGGAGATAAATTCTCAGAGTTGTGGACCAGTAGAAAGAATTCGATCAAGATCACTTCGAAATAAATATTATTAATTATTTTAATGAAAGAACAAGGGAAGGGCATCACTCTCTCTTTGGGCATGTTATATAATGCCATGTGGATTTATTTGAGGTGAGAAAATGGTGCCATAACATGTCCCAGTGGTCCCCTGTAAGTCAGGGCTTGAAAAAGTACCCTATACGGTGCAGAATGGCAAGATAGGTGGAGGAATACCTAAAGGTTGTATTTTGCACGAATTTTATATTAATTTCCTCCCTATTTTAATGCCAAAATGATGAAGGAATATGAAGGAGACAAGTGTGCGATTAGATGGGAAAAGAAGGTATTATGTGTACGGCTGGATGCAAGACACGTGTACGGTCAGATGCAAGACACGTGTACAGTAAAAGCATGTGGATTGATGATGTAAGCATGATGTCATCATCATGAGGTAAGCATGATGTCATAGGATACTTGTCACCATAAGATTAAAAGAGAAAATAGACGGCCCAGATCAAGCCACACATTCTTAAGATCAACAGCTCAGATTCAGTCTTGTTTTCTATAAATACCCCCTCCCCACCCCTCATTTTCGTCCAACCTAGAGGAAACCTTGGGGAAGCTCTAGCAAAATGGTTTCTAGAGAGAAAGAAGAGAGAGAAAGAAAGGCCAAGTGGTCATATGTAAGATCGAGCTCCAAAACAAGGTATGTTTATGATTTTTGATGTAGTTTTCACTACCCTTGTTGTTGTTAAGCTTGGTTATGGATTTTAATGATTTTAGGGAGCTTGAAACTCTAGGGGGACACGCTGCACAAAATTCTTAAGAGTAGAGGAAGGTGAAATTGATGTTAGAATAATGTTCAAAGGCTTGAAAGGAACACAAATCAAGTGGTTTTATGCTGAAATTGGTTGAACTTCATGATTATGTAACTTGGGTAATATTTCGGCCAGGGCTGGTTCTTGGGGCTAGGATTGGATTTTGATCATTTTGATGCTTCCAATGTGTTTAAAATGAAAAATTGTGTGGGGTAATGGTGAGAAAACAAGTTTGGAAGCATTAGAATTGAAAGTGGAATGTTGAGCCCTAACACCCTATGTTTGGCCAGATCAAGTTGAGTAGGGAGGAGTTTGATTTTGATTATTTTGAGCTTGGAAATAGATTCTACATGTAAAATTGTGTGGGAATAGTATGTGGAATTAATTTTGGGAAGGTTGGAAATCAAGCTCAAAAGTTAGAAGCTAATATAGCTCAAAGAAAACAAAGTATTGATGTTATTGATTACCATGGCTCTAATGAATGAATGGAAATGATGTGTTAGTGAATTTAGGGCCATGACACATCAAGGAAAAAGGAATGGCAAAGGTTGAGGAAGAAACCTTAACGGTTGGAAGCAAAAAAGGAGCAAGTTGAAGAGCAAGAGAAAACTTATGATACAAGGTAGCGAACTTACCTTTCTTGTGTGATTGATGTGTATGTGTGTATGTGCTATGAATGCCATGATGTGATTAAGCTATGTTGTTGAATTAGGATTGCTATGTTTATGTTAAGCATGCCTTGGTATTATGTTATGTGAATATGAATGAACTAGCTTACTTTCCATGGCATTTCACCATGCATGAAAGATAAAGTTATGTGCACAAAAGCATGCCATACACTTGCATCCATCTTGCTTGTATAAATGGTAATGTTTGCTATTGAGGTTCTCCTAAATCTCACCCTCCCTTAACCAACCATACTAGGTGCAAGAGAATGGGAGAAGAAATCAAGAAGTGGAGCAAGAAAGAGAGGAAAAGACTTTAAGAAATGTATTACATTACGTTATACACTGTATATAGCAATCTGTGTTGTAAAGGTGCCATTGATGGTATGTGATTATAAATGATGATGTTGGCTTGGGTAATTAGCTATGATAATGTATGGAAATAGTTAGTATATGAATGGAATGGTATTATGTATAGAAAGTCCTAATCATGAACTGTTAGTGCAAGTTAGGAGATAAGCTATCCCTAATTGAGCAACAAATTAGTGATAGTGTAGAAGTATGACAAATGACTAACTCTGCTCATAAAATTTGGCATGATTAAAGTACACACCCTGAGCTTTAGAACAAGTAATAGATCACTTAAAACGGATGTGTGTGCTAAGAGTTATAATTGCTCAAAGTTGGACTGAAAATCTGAAATTTAACCAGTGAATAGTAACATGAGAACCAATTACAAAGTTCAATCTATGGGCTTATTTTGTGAATTGCTTGAACCATAACGCTTCCAAACATGTACCCTGAGGGGTTAAAGGTAGGATGTTTCAGGGGAGGGGAGCGACAGCGCATTGTCAGATCATTCTTTGCCATTGTCTGTTAACAATGTTTGCAACATCAATGGCAGAAGGATTTTGTAAATTTAACAAAATTAACTACAAGGATTCAATAAAAAGAAATAAAACTATAAGAATCTAATTCAAAATTTGATCAAACTATAAGGACCTGAAATATATTTTCCCTAAATCAAGTTATAAAGACACATCATCATTTTTTAAAAATAAACTATAAGAATTTAAGTTACAATTGGAGAAAATTATAGTAAAGACCTACCGGCTTAATTTTTCTTATAAATAGGAAAAGAAATAAATGGCCACTTGATCCCATAGCTGATGATCGTACCGTTGAGAAATAAGAACAATGCGCAGGAACCTTCACTCCTTTATTTCTCTTATAAAAATATACTGTATATATAGTGAAATATGTAACTGTAGTTTATATATATAAATATCAACTCCCCAGATATTAGGTAGATTATAGGGAATCAGATTTATTTTTGAATTATTCCTAGAATATCTCTGTAATCTCTCTCGATCTCCATTCTGCTTATATATACATTGTACAGCAACACCCAGAAATATACAAGTGAATATTTTCATATATACCATGTCTATATGGTACCAGAGCCAGCGGACAGTCATCCCTCAACGAGTCCGGTGAATTCCTCTTCTTCGTCCTCCACATCGGAGGACATATCAGTTGGATCAAGCCCCAGGCAGCGTCCGACCATGATGGACCCTCCTGGTGGATCCCCTGCGCAAGTTTCTGGTTCGACCAATGCCACCTCCGTGTCGACCATCAATGTCGATAGCTCCTCTATTGCTTTTGTGTCGGAAAAACTCATCGGCAGAAATTACAGGGAGTGGGCTCAAGCTATGCGATTAGCCATTGGTGGTCGTGGCAAGCTTGGTTTGATCACTGGAGAATCGACCGCACCTAGTGACCCAAAGTCTTCAAAGATGCAGCAATGGCTCACGGACAATTCTCTTATGTGCTCCTGGTTGATTAACGCTACGTCGCCTTCCCTTAAACGAAGTTTTATGTATTTACCTACTACTAAAGACATGTGGGATGCTGTTCGAGAATCCTATTTTGATGGTGAGGACCTTGCCCATCTTTATGATCTAAAAACCAGAATCTGGAATATCAAGCAAGGTACTCGCACCGTTACTGACTACTGGTTGGAGCTCATTGGACTATGGCAGGAATTGGATATGATTATTGAGGAGGAGTGGTCATCTTCCATTAATGCTGCATGACACAAAAACAATGTTGAAAAGGAACGTGTTTTTCAGTTCCTCGCTGGTTTAAACCTTGAGTTTGATGACATTCGAAGCCGGATTCTAAGTCATTCGTCGCTGCCTAACACTCGTGAGGCTTTCTCTGAAGTACGTCGTGAAGCCTCACGTCGTGATGTTATGCTGTACCCCACCTCTTCAACCATTTCTGACTCCTCTGCCCTTGTCAGTAGAGGGGGGGTCCTCATCTTCCTCCACAAAGTCTAAAGTCACTTGTGATCACTGTAAGAAGCCAGGCCACACTCGTGACTGTTGCTGGGACATTCATGGCAAACCAGCTGATTGGAAATCTCGAAAGGGTAAACCTCGGGGTTATCAGGTATCACCAGAACCCTCCCAATCCTCTGATTCTCTTCTACCCTTGTCAAATGAGCAACTGCAGCAGTTACTTACTACTCTTAAAGGCCTCCCAGCGCAGCAACCTCCCCCTGCTGTGTCTGCCTCCATAGCTCACACAGGTACTCCTCCATTCGCTCTTCACACTTCATTCTCGTCTAACAAATGGATAGTTGACACTGGTGCTACTGACCATATGACCTCGGATGCTCGTATGTTTCTTACCTATTTTCCCTGTGCTGGTAATGACACGATCACCACTGCTAATGGTTCGGCTTCTCCCATTGTCGGTAAAGGCTCGGTTACTCTTTCAAATTCACTGCATCTCAATTCTGTCTTACATGTCCCTCATTTGGCCTGTAACCTTCTTTCTATCAGCAAAATTACTAAACATGCAAATTGTGGGGTGCTTATTTTTTTCCCACTTACTGTATTTTTCAAGATCTCTCATCGAGGAAGATGATTGGCATAGCTAGGGAGCATGATGGTCTCTATTGTCTCGATGTCTCTACCGTGACTACCTTGTGTTCGCAAATCTATGGTCCTGTCTCTACTTCTGACAATAATGATATTTTATTATGGCATAAAAGAATGGGTCATCCCAGTTTCTCTTATTTGCAACGTTTGTTTCCTCATTTATCCATTAATAAAAATTCCATTCTTCATTGTGATTCTTGTACACTTGCCAAACACCATCGTGTACCTTTCCCACCATCGCAATACAAACCAACTCGTCTGTTTTCTATAATTCACAGCGATGTTTGGGGTCTGTCTCGTGTTTCCAATCGTACCCACTCAGAATGGTTTGTCACCTTCATTGACGATCACACACGAATGACTTGGGTTTACTTAGAGAAAAATCCATTGTTCCCTCTGTTTTTATGGAATTCTTTCACCTTGTCCAAAATCAATTTAACACTACAATTCAGGTTTTATACACAAATAATGGTACTGAGTTTTTTAATCAATAGCTTGACTCTTTTCTAAAAACCAATGGCATTGTCCACAATAGCTCTTGCCCTCATACCCCACAACAAAATGGTGTTGCCGAATGCAAAAATCGACATCTTTTTGAGGTAGCCCGTGCGCTCCTGTTCACATGTAATGTGCCTAAATTTTTCTGGGGGGATGCTATTCTTACAGCCACTCTTTTAATCAATCGAATGCCGAGCCATGTTCTCTCTTTTGTCTCTCCTTTAGACAAACTTCATGAAACTCACCCAGTCACTCATCTTGATCACCACCTTCCGCTTCGCATCTTTGGTTGTTCTGCCTTTGTTCATCTTCCTCACCCTCAATCTAAACTTGATCCACGTGCCGTTAGGTGTATTTTTTTGGGGTACTCATCTAGTCAGAAAGGATATAAGTGCTATGATCCCACTTCCAAACGCCTCTTTGTTAGTCGTGATATCTCTTTTTCTGAGCATGAGCCGTACTTTCCCACTTCTTCAATTCAGGGGGAGAATTGGAGTGAATTTCAGCGTGTAGAAAGTGTACCTGAGCCTATACCTCCAACTCAGCCTGTTCTATCCATTTCACCTAGTAATTCTACACCTATTCCTCCCGATGTTGTGCAAGTGCCAAAGGCAGGGGGAGATAACACCAACAATAAATATAACAAGGTATACACACGGCGAGATAAAGAAACTATAGAGATCATAATGCCTAGAGCTCTGCCAGAATCTGACCAAATGAAAGATTCTGAAACGGCGATAGAAGTGAATGAGGAGGACTTGCCCATTGCCCTAAGAAAGAAGACTCGCTCTTGTACCATGCATCCTATCCAAAAGTATGTATCGTATGCCACTCTATCTCATGATTATCATGCTTTTACCACTAATATTTGAAATCAGAATACCTAAAAATGTACATGAGGCTCTTGAGCATCCTGAGTGGAAGAAGGCAGTGATGGAAGAAATAGCAGCATTAGAGAAAAATGAGACTTGGGAAGTGGTTAATCTACCAAAAGGGAAGAAAAAAGTTGGATGCAAGTGGGTCTTTACCCCGAAATATAATGCCGATGGAACACTCTACAAGTTCAAGGCACAATTGGTAGCCAAGGGTTTCACTCAGACCTATGGGCTAGATTATAATGAGACATTCGCTCCCATGGCAAATTTAAATACAATAAGGATTCTGTTATCGATTGCAGCCAACTTGGATTGGCCTTTACAACAATTAGACATCAAAAACGCATTCCTTAATGGAAAATTAAAAGAGGAAGTCTATATGACACTGGCCCCAGGTTTTGATAGAGGGAGACAAAATCAAGTTTGTAAGCTGAAGAAATCCTTGTATGGCCTAAAACAGTCCCCCAGGGCATGGTTCGATAGATTCTCCAAAGTTCTAAAGGTTGAAGGCTAAAGGCAAAGTCTGTCTGACCATACAATGTTCGTTAAGAAGAATGGAGCACTAAAGGCAATTCTTATTGTCTACGTAGATGACATTATTCTTACAGGTGATGATGTAACCAAGATAAACTGAATAAAGACAGCTTTGAATCGAGAGTTTGAGGTCAAAGATCTAGGAAAACTAAGGTATTTCCTTGGAATGGAAGTTGCACATTCAAAGAAGGGAATCTATGTCTCTCAACGAAGGTATATTCTTGATTTATTAAAAGAAACTGGTATGCTTGGTTGCAAGCCAATTAAAACACCAATGAGTGTTAAGAGGGAAAGCACCAACCGAGGTAAGAAAAAGGCAACTACCAAAGA